GGTCCGTGTCCGGTCCGATCGATGACCCGAAGGTCCCTGTCCTGTGTTCCTGTCCCATTGATGACACGACGTCCCTGTCCAGTTTGATCCACGACCAGGCGGTACTTGTTTGGTTTGGCCGACGGCCGGACAGTCTCAATTCGATCCAGTATGGTTAAATTCTAGGCGGTCCCCGTCTGGTTTGATCAACGACCCGACGGTCCCTGTCTTGTCCAGTCAACCACCCGGTGGTCCCTGTCCTTTCCGATCAACCACCCGGTTGTCCCCGTCTTGTCCGATCAACGATCCGGCGGTCCTTATCTAGTCCGATCAATGACCCGGCGGTTCAGTCTTGATTTTTTGAAATCATTTTTTGAAGTGAAGAGTTTTAAGAGAGTCGTTAAGTTGTCACCCAATAGGGAAATGAGAAAAGAATTCGTCAAACTAACTGTTGAGATTGACCGGAACCAGCCGGTTTTGGTCCCGACTTTCCTATACGTGGGACCTAGTACCCTACTTGGGTTGTACTAGCTTTGATTTCGGAATGAGACCGTACTTTCAGTCTTCTGGTCGGTCACAGAATCGGGTGAAAAAATTTAATGAACATGTTTTCAGATTTGAAAATGGAAAACTAAAATGAAAACAAAAATTTGGAGATAGAAAAACTGGAAAATGATAACAGAAAATTGGAGAACGGAACAAAAATAGAAAACTGGAAAATATCTCTGTTAGTAAACAGGCCCTAAGTTTCTCTCATTTGCTCCCTTCTTCCTTCTTCCTTCTGCATTTGCCTTGCTTCCGACATCTTCAGCCCCTGTTTCTTACGCTGCTGTCTCGTGGTGCAGACTCGCAGGTAAGTATTTACTTTTTGTTCTCTTCTACTCTTTGTATTCTTTTATTTAATTTATAAATTTATAAAATTATTTAAATAAAACAAAAATACAAAGCCGAATCAGTCTGCCACAGAAATGCGTGTGATAGTTTATCAATTAACAATGTATTTTTTATACAACGTAGTTTACTACATAACAATGATAACACTATATATTATAGTGTTTTGCAACTGATTAAGTAACTATGTTTTATTTTATAGTTTATCATATAACACTTATATGTGATAGTTATTTGTTAGAGACCTCACCAGTACAAGAGAAACAGTAGATTAACAAGAAAATCAAACTAAATTCTTATTTGATGAAGAAGATCGGTTACAGAGAGAAACAGAAACAAAGGCCGAAGCCTCCCAAAAGAGAAGAGAATAACTCTCTAATCTTTCCCCGTCCCAGTCCAAAAGTCCAAAAAACCTCCTTACTACCTTCCCTCTACATCTATTTATACTATAGTACTGCCTAAGCCCTTATTACAACTATTATTATGATTCTTTCTATTATTAATCTAATAGGTAGGTCCCTATCAATACTCCCCCCTTTGAGAATCCACCTTGCCCTCAAGGTGGGAAGATAGGAACCAAGTCTGGAATTCCGCTTCCTCCTGGTGCCTCTTCCCTCCCAGTACCTCGCTGATGGTGGTATAAGAAGTTCCCAGACTTCTAGTCCTCTCTAGATGAGAAGCTCTTGACCATGCTCAGCATTGCATGTCTCTCAGGCTCCATCCTCTCTCTTGAGTGAAACTTCTCACTGAATAGCTCGTACAGAATTTCATCTACACACATGTCATAAGAAAGTTTATGAAAACTTGTGTCATACTGTGTTCCTCTTTTTGAATTTAAGACTTCTACAATCTCCAATGGTATTCCCCCATCATGAAACAGAAGTAGCATTTGTCCCATTACACTGCATAACCAGATGTCTTCTTTAAGAACATGCATATTTTCCTTGAGTAATGCACCCATCAGCTGAAATGCAGGAATATCCAATACAAATTTAAAGTAAGTAACAATTTCCAAAGGACCATAAGTCCACAAATCAGGGCGGTTCCGTCCCAAATAACTTCCTGACACTTCAGAAGATCTTGCCAGAAAATGAACCTGATTACCATAGAGTATTTCTAAAAATTTTGGTGCAACAACTTCGCCTAGAGCTTGCTGATAACTCTTAAGAGCCATCTTCTGTAACACTCTTGTTAAGATGTCAAAAACATCAGTAAGTGATAGGCTAAGAACAGTCTTTGCAGTGATGTCTCCCAATTTTAGATATCCTCCTAATGCTTTCAATGGATTATGTAAGCCAAGCTTGTGGTAGTTTATCATGCTATCAACAATATGTTGCAATTCTGCTTCTTTTAATCCTGATAAGTCTTTAACAATTACTGTTGTGAGTTGCAGGGAACTTCTATCAGAGTGCTGGGAATGGTTAGACTTCTCATCTTCAGGAAAAGGTTTACGGTTTCCAAACATAATAGCAAATTCTCCTAAAAAAAGATCCACATGATCCTCCTGAGCCTCTGGCCCAGATTTCCTTTTATCAATGCCTGAATATTCTGAAAACATTTCCCTGGGTTGTCTAGGTTCTTGACTTTTGATCCGAACAGCTTTGTCATCTGAAACGTTCTTGATTTTAAGTGCTCCAATTTCATAAGCAGTTAAGACTCTACTTCCAAAGAAACATGGGTGGATAAGCAGGTCAGCAATAGAAACTCGACTGGGAGTTAAATCCATAGCAATTTCAATATTAGGAGAAGCATAATCTGGCGTTTGTTTAACCGGAAGAACCGTTTTCGACTTTAAGACACCTACAACTGTAGTTTGCTCCTCGATTTCGTCCTCCTTATTCGTTTTCTTGATTCCAGATTCAATTGGTTCCCTCTCAATCTCCTCTATGGACGGTAGAATTTCTTGCTCAGGGACAAAACCATCTTGCGATAAAACTGGCGAACACAGAGAAACGACTTGAGAAGAGGAAGGGAAATAGTGAAAATCGATTGGTGACTTTCTTGGACACGAACTGAGGTCCGGAGAGGAATTCTGCGAATGGCGAGAAACAGTTCGCGCTTGAGAAATATGAAAAGAAGTTCGCGATTGCGAACTAAAAGGAACAGTTCGCGCTTTCATTTGCGTTTCAGTTTGCGAACTTATAAGCGATGACGATGGACTGTGTTTGTCAGGTAGCGGAAGACACCTAGTCGTCCTCGATCGGTCTCCAGATTTTCTGCGATGTCTCTGCTCTTCTAGTTCCTCTGAGTCAGTCGAAAATCGCGTATGTCGATGATGAGATTTGGGATGCGTATGAGAGTAGTCAAAATTCTCTTCCGATCCCTCTGGATTGGATGACCTTCGTGACTGATGATGCGAAGTCCGACGAGAAGAGCTATACGAAGAACGATGGGAAGAGTTATGGTGGGATGAGCCATGCGAAGATCGGTGCGAATGGTGCGATGTATGTCGCGAACGACTTTGAAGTCGGTTCTGCAAATCTGCGACGCTAGCTTGCATCGCCTCTTGCATAGCGACCATACTCGCTTGTGTCTCCCTCATAATTCGGTCAATATTATCAAAACTCTTTTCCATCTTCGGTGTCAGGTAGAAATCCTCCTCCATGATTCAGATTCTTTGTCTCCAGGATGTAACAGCTCTGATACCAATGTTAGAGACCTCACCAGTACAGAACAATTACAGTAGATTAACAAGAAAATCAAACTAAATTCTTATTTGATGAAGAAGATCGGTTACAGAGAGAAACAGAAACAAAGGCCGTAGCCTCCCAAAAGAGAAGAGAATAACTCTCTAATCTTTCCCAGTCCTAGTCCAAAAGTCCAAAAAACCTCCTTATTACCTTCCCTCTACATCTATTTATACTATAATACTGCCTGATAGAGTAATTGTCTAGAGAGAAGTGAGAGCTAGAGAGAGAAGTGCAATAATATGCTTCAATAGAATGATTTTGTAACCCTGATAACTACCTTCAGAGGAAGTATTTATAGGGAAAATACGGACTGGGCTCCCAAGCCCTGGGCTTGGGAGGCCCATTTTACAACTGGACCGCTACTGGGCCGAATACAAAGCCACTAGTGGGCTGTACAAATGAGTAAGTGTAAAATCCGGTTCTGTGGGTCTTCGTGGCCGACGAGGGCGTGGCCGACGAAGGCACGACCGACGAGGGCACGGCCGACGAGGGCACCCGGGTTCCTTGGCTTCAGGACCATATTCTGAGTTGGTACCTTTCCGGCCGACGGGGGTCCCTTGGCCGACGAGGGTCCCTTGGCCGACGAGGGCACCACTCAGTGTCTTGTGCTTTCTGTTCTTCTGAGTATGTGGGTCCTGGGGCTCAGACCCATATACTCCATCACTGCCTAAGCCCTTATTACAACTATTATTATGATTCTTTCTATTATTAATCTAATAGGTAGGTCCCTATCATTATTCTAATATTATTATTGAAAATTGATTATATGTAATTTACTAAAAAAAGAACTATTAGCTGTTTTATACCTAAGAGTAATACGTAGGCAATAGCCCTCCAATTGTCCAATAGTAGCAGATTGTTTTTATTTAACAAATATTTAAGACAGTTTTTATTATCAACATTTTTTATATAACAGTTTATTACAATAATTGTTTAATTTACTATTACCACTTTATCAAAAAAGTACTATTTACAGTTTATGTAACAATTATGAATAACAGTTTATATATCAATTTATCAAAAACTGACTATTAATTGTTTTATATTTAAGCAATAGTTAGGCAGTAGTCCTATAATAGTCCAATCAAAGCATATTGTTTACTAGTTTGAAGTATTTTGTTTCTCTTATGATGTTTATTAAGATTGTTTAATAGTTTCAAGTATTTTTAGAAGAGTGCTTCATGTAGAAGTAGTATGTATAAATATATTTTACCATAGATATGTGGTTGAGGCGCACGCCTCACTCCCTTGCACCTCGCGCCTCGGGTAAATCAGCAAATACTCCTTATGCCGCGTCATACTTTTTAAAACTGAGGTTCATGGTTTAATTCTGTGCACAGTTGATGCGGAAAGTTCAGGTATAGTCTGATTTCTCTAAAGTTGCATTAGTGATAATTGGTGTAATTTTGTATCAACAACTTTCTTTTTGCATGATTGTAGCCTCTAATATCTGGAGCTGCAATTGGACTAGAAGGGCAGGTACCATTTATACTTGTTTACCATGTTTAACACTGCTATAAATTTTCTGAGCATATTTTGCATGACAGCTGAGTTCTTTTGCACCTGTGAGTCTGACATATTCTTGTCTTTGTAGTTGACAGTCTACAATTACAATGGAGGCCCATGTTATAGATGCATGTTTCCAATCCCACCCCCCACAACTTCATGCCAAAGATGCTCAGATAGTGGTGTATTAGGTGTAGGTATGTAATATGTTACTACATACTATTGAAGATCTTTAATTCACTGGATTTCATAACTGTTCAATTATTGAGAAGATTACCTTCCTTTTTCATCACAGTTGTGTTGCCTGTTCCTGCATTTGGAATTTCGCTAGAAATGAGATATGCAGTAGCCAAATGTAGTGTGTTTATTGCAGTTTAAAATGGAGAGCAATTGACCCGTTTTTTAGAATGGTTCATGCTGATCTTATTTTTTGGGGTAATAGGCCTAAATAGGACTAAATTAATCTCTAAATGCACAAATAGGACTATGTTATTTATCTTACCAAAATAGGATTAAAGTATACTCTATCTTCCTATTTTACCCTTACCATAACTTAATAGGATTATCATATTCTAATTTGTAATAAACAAAAAAGTAATAAAAAATATTTAACCTATACAAAAAATCGTAAAAAATATAAAAAAGTTCTAATATATTTTTAAAAACTAATAAAATAAAAAAAATTAAAAAATTTAAAACTTTAAAAATAAATAAAAAATAGATAAAACACATTAAAAAAATATGGAGGCCTTTTCCATAGTCTGAGCAACCACCCAGTAATGTCAACTCCTATCGGTGAAAAAGATGCCATTTTGTGTGCAAATTGCCTTTTTTCTCTGAAAATGCCATGAAGGTGACATTTTCTCTTTGAAAATGTCAAAATTGTCTCAAAACAGCCATCCACATGGCATTTCTGACACATGTTGGCATTTTTTCTAGTGGTCGGAGGTGTTGGTGTTGGATTTTTTTTTTATCTTGATTTTTTAATTTTATAATTGTTTATTTTTCTAGTTTTTTATTTTTATTGATTTAATTTAATATGTATTTTCGTATTTTTTATTTTTTTTACATTTTTATTATAAATAAATTAATGTTTTTAATTTATGTTTTAATTTTTAATGAAATATGAATTGTACTCCCTCAGTCCCATTTTGTATGATACGTTTCCTATTCACCTGGTCAACACAAATCACTCTTAATCTCTTACTTTGTACTATCCTCCGTTCCGTTTTAATCGCAACATGTTGAATTTTACACTATTCACATGCTCTACTTTGACTACGTTTTACGTTATTATTTTATGAAAATTATTTTTTTAAAAAAATATTGTTCAATTCATCTCATTACAAATTTTCAAAAACTGTTTTTTAATATTTTTTTACTAATAGAATTAAGATATAATTACGGTCAAAGACGCGCGTTGACAAATGTGAAATGTTGACCGTTGCAACTAAAAAAGAACGGAGGGAGTATATCAAATTTTTATCAAATTTGGTTCTGGTTTTTGCGACTTTGTAAAGCTTTTAATGTAGTTTCTGAATATGTAATTCTTTTTTTCTAAAAATAATTCGAGTGCGGACAGGGATCCGTTTGCTTTATGGTCGGTCAAACATTGTAAACCGTAAAGTGCCTTACAATTCGGGACGGAGGGAGTATTAAAGGTGTAGTCCTATTTTGGCAATTAAAGTTTTATTTAGTCCTATTTGGAGAATTCCCCCCTATTTTCTTATATACAACAACTATATTCTCCAAGTGAGTTGTGCTGATCATATCTTCTGACAGTATATTTTTATGAGTCTTACTGAGATAGAATTGTCATGGTGTTTTCTGTTGTCAAAATTTGTTTATTTTCAGCCCAGTTCGTAAACAAGGTTCTCATTCATCAACTCACTTCCATATCTGATTGACAGTTCCTGGAGTAATTGGATGCCTTCAAGCCCTAGAGGCTATAAAAGTTGCATGTGAGATCGGTGATCCACTCTCTCAACGGATGCTTCTCTTCGATGCCCTGTTAGGACGGATTCATATGGTATGTCTATGGTTCACTTTTCCTCGAATTAGTGTTATCTGATGGAAGATATATGTAAGTGCTTTGTCTTGTGCCTTGTATGCATTGTGTAATTCTCATATTTCTGTTTACTCAGGTCAAGATTCGAGGAAGGTCATTGCAATGTAAAGTTTGTGGTGACAATGAAGCGCTGACAAAACAGCAATTTGAAGATTTTGACTATGAAAACTTTACTCAATCTCCACTTTCTACGGTGTGTTATGTTTTCACTCTTCCCGTTCCTTGTTTTCACTCTTCCCGTTCCTTTTGTGATGTTTCTATTTGAACTGAAAAAGAAAATTTACGATGTGAAGAATGTAGTAGTTGAACTAGTTTTATATTTGATAACATTATTCACATAGATATTGAAATGTAAAAGGGGCGATTTAATATTTTAAGGGTCTGTTGGGGGTGCAGAAAATACCAGTCAAAGAAAATATGAAGGAAAGTAGTAGCATAGAGAACATGGGAAAATAAAAGATACACTCAAATTTGATGAATTTGTTATTTTAGATATTTGTTAAAACTCATTTCATTTATTTATTTATATTATATTCAAGTAAGATGCACACACACGAAGTAAAATATTAGTCATATTTCATCTTCCTATGCAGTTTTCATGTTAAATCCAACAATGAGAGAACAACTTTCCTCAGCATTATTTCCCTTGCCCTAGTATGTTCCGGGACGCGAACCCCAATAGTTCAGCTGTTTGTCTGTAGACACAAGGCGGAGTCTAGTTCAAAGGACCATCAGTCTCTTTGTGTTTGTTGGATGTTTTTGTATTTGCTAATTTTAGCTCCCCACTTCATCTGTACACTAATAAACATGACACTACCTTTATTTTCATGACTGAACTATTAGAGTGCACTTTAAAATAATGATGACGGTGATTACACAGGGTCCATTGAAGTTGAATCTTGTTCCACCAGATGCCAGAATCAGTAGCAATGAGTACAGGGAGAGAGTTTTGCAAGGGGAAGCTCATGTATTAGTAGATGTACGGCCAGCCCATCATTACAACATTGTTGCACTTCCCAACTCTATTAACATCCCGCTGCAGGGTTTGAAGGATCGACTATCTGACTTATCTACAATGTTACGGAACGGTGACGAGGAAGGTTCCTGTGCTTCTCTCTATGTCATTTGCAGGAGAGGTAATGATTCACAAAGGGCTGTGGAATGCCTCCACAAGGCCGGTTTCTCTTCGGCTAAGGATATAATAGGGGGCCTTGAGGCATGGACCCGAGAGGTGGATCCCCAGTTCCCCTCCTACTGATGATGCCTAATAAATCTTGATGGTCTACCCATTCTGGATTTTCTTTCCATACACTCTTTCTTCCCCAACACAGGTGATGTGCAATGTCTCTTTGAGCACAGAGTTTTGAGGAGTTGTAAAACGTCAATAAGTCACATTTTGTTCCATAATCTTTATTTTTAAAGAATACTTGAAACCCTAGTTAGCTTTTTTTCGTTTTAAACGCGTTTTAAATACTTACCGTTTTTTTGAACACAAAAACACGTTTAAAACAAAAAATAAAAGGAAAAAACTCTTGCTTCCCGTATAAAACGTATTTTCCTGTATTTTATTAAAAATAGAAATATGAATTGATCAATTGAATGAACACATTAAATGTAGGGGTGGATTCGGTTTGGGCCACCTGACCCGTGACCCGGCCCGGCCCGCTACTGTGCGGGCCCGAGACCGGCCCGGTCTGGCGGTCCGGGACCAGCCCGGTCTGGCGGTCCGGGACCGGGTGTAGACCCGAACCGGTGGGGATGGGCGGAGCGGGCTCGGTTCCGGAAAAAGTTGACCCGGCCCGGCTGGGTCAGGCTCGGGTCCGGGTCCAACGATCATTTTTTAATTTTTTTTTGTTTTGGCCAAAATAGTCGTTGCGGGTGGGCTGGGGACAACCCAAACGGCTATATAGCCGTTGGGTGGGGTGCAGGGGGCGTCCGGGGGGTGGGGTAAAAAAACCTATAAATACTCCTAATCTTAAATACTCCTATTCTTAACTCTCTACTCTCCAATTCTCCAATATATTATATTTATTATTTATATATCTACTTTATATTAATTATGTACTTATAATTTATAAATACATACATTATAATATTATATTACTTATATTTGTTATCTAATTATATATTACTTATACATTTATTATATCTATTAATGTAGTTGGAATTATATCTAATTAATTTGAAGTCATTCTATTACTCCCATCCGAAAGACCGAATGTCCGAAAGAGGTACGAAATTATTCTATTATTTACACTTGTTTAATTTTGTACTAATGCTAGTTGAAAAAAAACTAGTTAATTCTCATAATAGTTAAACTTAAACTATAATAATTTGATTGTTAGTAAAAAAAATAGGTTGTACAAAAAACTAGTTGTAATTCTCATTATAGTTAAAGTTAAAGTGTATTAATTTCATTGTTAGTAAAAAAAATAGGTTGTACACAAAACTAGTTAATTCACTAGTAAATTTGATTAAAGTAAACTTTAAAATACTAATTTGCTATAACTCGAATTAATAGTTAATTACTTTATTACAATTTTTTATTAATTGCTACATTTGACTCTAGTTTAAAAAACTAGTTAATTCTCATTATAGTTAAAGTTAAAGTATATTAATTTCATTGTTAGTAAAAAAAATAGGTTGTACACAACTAGTTAATTCACTAGTTAATTTGATTAAAGTAAACTTTAAAATACTAATTTGCTATAACTCGAATTTTTTATTAATATATTTGTTGCAATTTAATATTTGTTACATTTTTTAGATGGATCGTCCTAGAAATTCGGTTGATATGGGTAACCTCGAGCGCAACCGAACGAAAGAGCTTGCGAGGAAGAGATCCCGCAAAGGTAAATCACATATCGGCTCTTCATCTCAAAGTCGAGATGATTTTGATACGAGTTACGCAAGGAGGGATGGGGATGCCCTGACCGACGAACAACTAGAACAAGAATTGCATCGACATAATTCCCGCTTTTTTCAAGACTAACCGAGGACCATTGAAGAAGTAGAGCTCGAGGACGAGGACGACGATGTGGAGGAAGTAATTCCGGAGAGCCACGACGAGGAGGAGGAGAAGGGTGGCGGCAGCCATGACGCCGACCAGCCTGCCTCATCCCAAACAGGTACGAAAAAACGTAAATCTGAACTAATGGCTAATAATTTTTCTAAGTGGAAGGACCCGAACACCGGGAATTGGACTGCAACTTGCAATTGGTGCAAGAAAAACTATAGCTTGGGGATTTCCACTTATAAAAATTATTAGCCATTAGTTCGGATTTACTTTTTTTCGTACCTGTTTGGGATGAGGCAGGTTGGTCGGCGTCATGGCTGCCGCCACCCTCCTCCTCCTCCTCCTCCTCGTCGTGGCTCTCCGGAATTACTTCCTCCACATCGTCGTCCTCATCCTCGAGCTCTTCTTCATCAATGGTCCTCGGTTGGTCTTGAAAAAAGCGGGAATTATGTCGGTGCAATTCTTGTTCTAGTTGTTCGTCGGTCATCGCATCTCCATCCCTCCTTGCGTAACCGTATCAAAATCATCTCGACTTTGAGATGAAGAGCCGATATGTGATTTACCTTTGCGGGATCTCTTCCTCGCAAGCTCTTTCGTTCGGTTGCGCTCGAGGTTACCCATATCAACCGAATTTCTAGGACGATCCATCTAAAAAATGTAACAAATATTAAATTGCAACAAATATATTAATAAAAATATATTAATAAAAAATTGGAGTTATAGCAAATTAGTATTTTAAAGTTTACTTTAATCAAATTAACTAGTGAATTAACTAGTTTTGTGTACAACCTATTTTTTATACTAACAATGAAATTAATATACTTTAACTTTAACTATAATGAGAATTAACTAGTTTTTTAAACTAGAGTCAAATGTAGCAATTAATAAAAAATTGTAATAAAGTAATTAACTATTAATCTAACTATTAATTCGAGTTATAGCAAATTAGTATTTTAAAGTTTACTTTAATCAAATTAACTAGTGAATTAACTAGTTTTGTGTACAACCTATTTTTTTTACTAACAATGAAATTAATACACTTTAACTTTAACTATACTGAGAATTACAACTAGTTTTTTGTACAGCCTATTTTTTACTAACAATCAAATTATTATAGTCTAACTTTAACTATTATGAGAATTAACTAGTTTTTTTCCAAGTAACGTTAATACAAAATTAAACAAGTGTAAATAATAGAATAATTTCGTACCTCTTTCGGACTTTCGATCTTTCGGATGGGAGTAATAGAATGACTTCAAACTAATTAGATATAATTCCAACTATATTAATAGATATAATAAATGTATAAGTAATATATAATTAGATAACAAATATAAGTAATATAATATTATAATGTATGTATTTATAAATTATAAGTAGATAATTAATATAAAGTAGATATATAAATAATAAATATAATATATTGGAGAATAAGAGAATTAGAGAGTAGAGAGTTAATAATAGGATTTAGGAAGAATTGGAGAAGAGATGAAAAAATGTTTAAGATTAGGAGTATTTATAGGTTTTTTACCCCCCCACCCCCAAACCCCCCGGATCCCCCCTGCATCCCACCCAATGGCTATATATCCGTTTGGGTTGTCCCCAGCCCACCCCAACGGCTATTTTGGCCAAAACAATTTTTTTTTAAAATGACCGTTGGACCCGGACTCGGGCCCGACCCGACCAGGCCGGGTTAACTTTTTTCCGGAACCGAGCCTGCCCCGCCCATCCCCACCGGTTCCGGTCTACACCCGGTCCCGCACAGTAGCGGGCCGGGTCACGGGCCGGGTGGCTCGAATCGAAACCACCCCTAATTTCATATAGCTCACCGAGTTTCAGGTTTTCTGATAGGTGTATGAAAATATTAATTAGATTTCTATTCAAAATCATGCTAATATCTATTCAGAATAATTTAATAAGTTGCTTAGAGTTACTAATTTATCTTTGCATTTCCCTATGTGTTTCTTTTAATAGGAATAGAAGTTCTTCATGATATTTGTGAAAGTCATGTAGAGATAATGTGTATGTGACATGTGTTCAAGAAACATATGTCATGAAGCAGATGGGTTAGTGGTGTGTGTTCAATTGGTGCATACTATATTTATCATCTATTTCTTAATACGGAGTACTCTCTCGGTCCCATATTTAACTCTGGTTTAGACCGAGCATGTGATTTAAGATAGTGAGATTTGTGTGGTGGAGAGTTATGCAGATGAGAGAGATAGAATGTGTGGTGGAAAGTATGAAGATAATTCCGGGACGGGGGAGTAGTTTTTTTAAGATAGAATGTTATGGTTGTTAATGATCCTATTAAATGGGAGAAATTAAAGGAGACTCAAGTAACGTTCACATTTTTACTTTAGCTCCACCCAATTGAATAAAATATTAAACAACCTTTCGGTTACTCAAGAGTTAAAAAATATGTATAAAATAAATTGTTTATTTGAAATGCAATTATTTTTCCAACAATTCAAAAGTTATATATATATATATATATATATATATATATATATATATATATATATAATCATATAATGAGATTAAGTTGTATTGAATGATGAAATAACAACATTAAATTATACGTTGCACTTCATTTTTCAACACGATAGTATTTCGATACAATGGTCTTAATGGGTTCAAAACTAGACCTATAATCAATATATGTCCTTGAAACCGACATTGAATAATATATTTCCTGTTAAAAATAATAATCTAAACAAACTAGAAAGAATAAACCAGTTCAGAGGCGGAGTCATCGCAATGGGCCGGACTGGGTTGGTGCAAAATACATTTTTGAAAAAACCTTTACATGAAAGTTTTTACTTAAAAATTAAAACATTTTTTAAATTTGGGGCGACAATTCACTTTAGTTAATGACAATTAATTCTTTTCATTTCAATTATATTGATTCTTCAGTTTTGAATTTTGAGTAGTTTTAATTAGGGATTTGGGATTGATGAAGTAGTTACTTATGATCTAGGGTTATTTTCGTGAGGGGTTAATTGCATGATTTTTATTTAATTTGTGTTTGAATGATTAATCGATATCTCTTGTAACCTAGAATGACCACTATGATTATAATTGCACATAGAATAAATTAAGAGAAATCTAATTTATTCTAGGACACTTTCACACAAACATGTAATCGTTCACTAAGAGGTTAGTAACGGTTAAGGGGTCGTACGCTCGCTCGTTTTGATGGGGCGTGAGATAAATATCTCAAACTTGCATATGTATATATATACCCCGAACTTTATCTAAAATGTTAATTTCACACCATGATCGTATTTTTTTACAAATATAAATTTATTGGAATAATAACTACATAATTTAAAAAACTCTAAACTTTGTTAGGATGCAATTAACAATCTAAAATTTCATCTGTGAAATAATAATATTACATTAAGTACAATTTATTTTTAATCGCATCCTCATAAATATTTGTTTGTATTTTATATTATCTGCTTGACAATATAAAAGTCCCCTTGTGAAAAAAAACATATGATCATGGTGCTAACATAATTTTTTTATATAAAGTTTGGGTGCTTATCTCACACCCCTTCAAAGTTTGTGATATTTAAATTATTTTTCCTTTTAATGCAATACTACCTGCATCCCTGAAACTACATCCCATTTCTATGCTTGACTGAGGATAAAGCAACAACATCATTGTTCATACTGAGATTATTTCTAGTAAATAAAATTTATGTATTCTGAAAAAGACATTAAAACTGATACAAAGTCTGTTTAAAAAATTAAATTTCATAAAAAATGATATATAAAGCAAAAGATTAAGAGTAATTTAAGTTGATCATGTGAATAGTGAATGAGAAGTTAATTTTGGGACGGATAGGGTATTCTATATAATAAAGTCTATAATGCGTGTATATTAACATATAACTATGCATACATAATTTTTTTTAATCAAACCCCCCAGATTTTATTAAGAATGAGTAATAGTATGTCTGAAGATAAGCTGCTTGTCAACCATCCATCTTCTAAGGTCTGCAACGATTCTTCTCCACCGACCTTCTGTGACCTCTCCCAAAATAATGTCAACAACAACCTTAGAATCAGTTTCAACCTCAAACGTCTGAAATCCCTTATTAATCGCCCAAGAAACAAATCGATGAACCGCCTTAAGCTCTGCCTCCATCACCGACGCTGCAGAAAGTGGAAAATGAAGAGCCACCTCCAACTCTCCTGAAATGGATCTGACTACAGTTCCCCCTGCAACCTGGCGAGCATTGAAGCACGCATCTACATTCAGCTTGAATCGAAGAGAAGGTAAGTCCCATTTAACTACTTGAATCATCGGCTTTATAGATTTAAAGGAAAGGGGCAATAATCGTTCTTAAAAAAGAATCGAACTGGGCGTGCCCAATATGAGCTTTTTCAGTTTAACCTCTGACCAACTATGTAAGAATGATTTTATTTGGTGAATAATCAAATGATAGCTGGCTACCTCCTGTATCTCTCCCCAACGTAGGTTACAGTAATTTTTCCAAATGTGCCATGAGACTATCCCTGCCAAGTTATGCCTGAAAATATCAAGAAGGGATTTAGATCCCGCCTCCAGCCACCATGCTATAAGCATTTGGCGTATAGTTGTTGGCCCTTTAGGGATAGTAATCTGAAAAATTCCAATAAAATATTTCCAGATGCTCCATGTAAAAGAACAATTAAGGAGGATATGGTCCATGGAATCAGAGTCCTTTTTGCAGAAGGGGCACATGTTAGGGAAGATTGTCAGATTAAACCTTCTCAAATTATCTGGAAATGGTAGAATTCTATTAATAATCTTCCACTGGAAAATCTGAATTTTACTTGATTGATATTTATTCCAGGCATGGCTGAAAGAGAAAGCAGCATTCCGTGCTCTTCTAACTTGCTGAAAGGCTGAAGATAAAGTAAAGGTTCCCTTACAATCAGGTAACCAGACCAGCTCCCCATTGATTCCCCCAAATCATGAATTTTACAGTCTTTTCCAGATAAATGAATCTGTAGCCTTAGGAACCATATTATTGCCCCTTGGATATCTAGAATGACAAAAATTTGCCCAAACTGATTTGTTACATCTCCATTTCCACCAAAGCTTTAAAGAATAAGCCTTTTCAATATCCACCAGAGACCTAATACCCAAACCCCCTTCATCATGAGGAAGACAAAGATTCTTCCATCTTATCCAATGATATTTATGTTTATTGGAATTAGAACCCCACAGAAAATGCGACATTCTCCTTTCCAAACTTCTAGTAATTGATCTAGGAAGAGTATCTACAGCAAGAATATGTAGGGGAATGGTGTTAAGAACATGTTTGATGAGCACAATTCTTCCTGCAAAGTTAAGATTTTTTTGCTTCCACGTAGTTAGCCTTTTATTAAAGGACTGAAGAATCCCCTGTCAGTAGTTCTTCCTGTTTACACCTTTATGCAGGGCTGAACCCAGATATCTCATTGGCATGCTGATTTTAGTCATCTCCAAGAGTCTCTCCATGCTCCTGATTCTAGCTAGGGAGGTATTGCCACATCCAAAGTTACTGTTTTCAAAATTGACAGACTGACCTGATGCCCTTCGATAGAGAGCTAGAAAATTTTTAAAATGTAAAATTGATCTGGCTTCCCCATTCAAAAAGACCAAAATATCATCAGCAAAACAGAGATGGCTAATTGAAAAACCAACTGGCCCAATCCAGTAAGGTTTAATTTTATTTTCAGATACCAATCTCTTCAAGCCCCTAGAAAAAGCCTCAGTCGCAAGGATAAAAAGGTATGGGGAGAGAGGGTCCCCTTGCTTCACACCCCTATGAATTTGGAAAAAAAACCCTAGGATTGCCATTAATAAGGACAGAGAAGTGAGTAGCCTTTAAATGATTCATGACCAGTCTAACAAAAACACCTGAAAAACCGAACTTGGATAGGACAGCCTTTAAAAAGTCCCAGGATAATCTATCAAAAGCCTTTGCCATATCCAGTTTGACTACCACATTAGAGCCCCTAACCTTCCTATCAATAGAGTTGATCATTTCTTGAGCAGCCAAAATGTGATCAGAGATGTCCCTCCCCTTCATAAAGCCCGCCTGCTCAATAGATATTAATTTGGGAAGAATCATCATCAATCTAGTAGCCAGGATTTTTGTACAGACCTTATTAATAAAATTAGATAAACTGATAGGCCGGAAATCTGAACCTTATTAATAAGAATTGCCAAAGTATTGTATCAAATGCAATAGATTGGGACACAATAAAGAAGAATGTGGGATTATCAAACCAAAGATCATCAAGGGAGGAGCAGATCAGGTCACGAATGGGAAAACAATCCAGAAAGATGTTGGGAAAGCTGCTCAGCAGGTACTGGAGAAATGGGTTCAGGTTTCCCGTAAGAATAAAAGAAAAGCTAAAATTGTTGAAGAAGGGGATAAAGCGGAGTCATCAAAACAGAACGAACAAAGGGATATTGTGATTGTCTCAAAGGAATTAGTAAAACAACCAGAGAGTGGTGATAATAAGGTGGCAAAGGAGGTTATTGGTGTAAAGGCTAGCGAGGTGGTCGCTGAGGAGCCTATGACACAAGAAGCAGTTTTGATTGAGCCGGTCCCAGAGGCAGTTGAATTTTCACAATAAATCGGGGTGGGGGATAATGCGCATGTTGTAGAGGAGATATCCAAGGAAAAGGTGCAGGAGGAGGAGGAGGTCAGCTTACCCAAAACTCAAGAGAGGGAAGGTGATAACCTTTACATGGCAACAAATGTTACCAAATTAATATCTTTTGAGGAGGGTAGTAGCCAGCCTGAGGAGGATGGAGTGATGGTTGAAAGAGAAGGCTTTGTATCGGAGGATGAGAACACCATTGTGGAGGAGATTACTAGGGACTCTTGGCAGAAAGTTTATGAGGAGCTTAGTAGGAAGGTGAATCTAATAGAAAAGGATCAAGTAGCAGTTCTGGGCGTGGTTTCAAGGAAGCACATCAAGGATACTCTTCCCCTATCGGTCACTACTAGGCTAGCGGCCAAGAGGAATACATCATGTTCTTCCTTGAATGTTTCTTTATGAAGATCCTCATATGGAATTTGTGTGGCCTCGCTTCTTCGTGCCCGAGGTTACAAGAAATTGTTAGGCACAACTCAGTTGATATTATTGTTATTATTGAGCCATTAGTTAATCAAAATAAGGGGGATTATTTTTTGCATAATTTGGGTTTCTCCAAGTTATATATGTCCTCAACTAATAAAATATGGGTGATGTCGAATACTAATTCCTTTCAAGTTGACTCAATTGAGGAGAAGGATCAGTTCTTGGTATCGAAAGTAAAATATCTTCCCACCGGATTTCATTTTACTTTCTCGCCAGTCTACGGTTCACATACTAGGAATGACCGAGTGCGGATTTGGGAGGGGATGAAGGATTTTGCTCAAAATGACAGTTTGAACTGGTTGTTAGGAGGAGATTTTAATGTTGTTGCTTCAATTTCGGAGTACAAAGGAAACTCTATTCCGTTGATTAATGATATTATGGATTTTAGGGAATGCCTAGACTCTTGTGAGCTTATTAATTTACCTACCTTGGGGTCTGCTTATACTTGAACTGGGGTTCGATCTAATGGAAGAGTTTGGGAGAAACTTGACCGATACATAGTGAATCAAGGTTTGTTATCTACTTTTGGGGCAGTTTGTACTCAACACTTGAGTAAAACTCCCTCGGATCATTGTCCGATTCTTTTAATTTGTGAAGAGGATGCTATTGGCGGTCCTAAAAAAATTCGACTTCAGAATATGTGGTTTTCTCATGGGGAATTCCAATCTTGGGTTAGGAGGATATGGGCTACCTATCCAACAGTGGGAGGTATGAGGGGGTTAATGGACAAATTACGAAGACTGAAGAATGATCTTAAAGTGTGGAATAAAGAGGTGTTTGGGGATATTTTCAAGGAGGTAAATCGCCTTGAACTTGAAACTAGAGACTGAAAGGAATTTTGAAGAATTCAGTTGAGAGGAAAACCGGACTTTGTGTTTTGAAAAATAGGCACAACTCCTTTTGAGGGTCAAGCAACAAGATATTTACTGGCGCCAGAAGGCCAAGGTAAAATGGTTAAGGCAGGGCGATGCTAACACGCGATTTTTCCATGAAAAAAAGGAGAAAAAGAGGAGGCAACATATAATGGAAATTAAAAACTCTTTGGGAAATTGGTGCTATGATAAAAAAGAAATTGGGGAGGACGCGGTCAAGTTCATCACCAATTTGTACAGGGAAGAGGAGACTCTTTCTTATGATATGCTTCTTCAACATATTCCGTGCCTACTTTCTGCGGAGGATAATTACTCCCTCAGCATGCTGCCAGGAGAGGAAGAGGTGAAGGGAGCGATTTGAAGTTTAAACCGGGACGCTGCTCCAGGGTCGGACAGTTTCAGTGGCATGTTCTATAGGAATTGTTGGGATATTATTAAACAAGGTGTGGTTTTGGCGGTGCGTGATTTTTTTTAGGATATCCCACCCCTAAGGGGGTTGGAAGTGTGAACATGGTGCTAATACAAAAAAAAATAGTCCCACATCTTTCAGAGACTTTAGGCCTATATGTCTTTCTACCTTCATTAGTAAGGTTAATACTCATATTCTGGATACGAGAATGGAGAAGATTTTACCTAACATCATTTCTAAAGAATAGTCTGGCTTTATGCAAGGCGGGGATATAAAAAATCAGATACATATCGCCATGGAGATGCTGCATCATCTTGATAAGTGATGGATAGTCTACCCGGGGGTATATATCCGAAGGGTTATTACGGGGAATAACTTAGAGAGAAGTCAGAGCAAGTAAATAAAAGTAGAGAGAGAGTGTATTCAGTATGAGTGCCGTTTTCAGCGTGGTTACAAATGAGGAAATGAAGTGCTATTTATAGTAGCAATAAATGCCGGGTAGGGACACGTGTCAAGCGCTTATTGGCCGAGGGGTCATCTCAACTGGTTGGCGCTGGCAGCCGCATGTGGCCGCATTTAATGCGGCTGTTGGATGGGACGTCTGTGCGGGGTACGATGATCTGTACGCATGTGAGGCGGATATCTTGTCGAGTGAGATGCCTCGGCTATAGAGCAGTAGCCGAGGGCTCTTCCACCCGATGGCACCCTGGTGCCGAGGGCTCACAGTGCCGAGGGCTACTGTTTTCGCCGTTTTCTCCCAGTTTCTTAATTTGCTTGAGAAACCCGTTCTGTGAGAATTTGGAGCCTTCGGCCAGGGGGCCGAAGGCACCCCTGGCGCGTTGTGCGGACTGCTTGGTACTCTGGGCGCTGTGATTTGGGCCTGTTGGGCCTGTTGGGCCTGTTGGGCCTTCGCTGGAGTAGTAGGAGTCTGTGGGCCGGGGGTTCCCGGGCCATATACTCCATCAGGAGTCCCTCACTCCTTTTGCCGAAAGGTACTTGAGGGAAAAGGAGTAATTTGTGCTTGCCCTTTGATGTTGTCCCGTCGTGATTTCTGAAGTTGGTGAGGAGTTGTTGCTTTTATATCCCTGCCGAAGGCAGTCCCTCAGTTACCCACATGTCGGGACTTGAGGGCTTGCTTTGTTGTTTGTTGGAGTTTCTACATCTTTTGTAATTTAATGATTTTCCCGAGGGGGTCCTCCAGTCCCCCACTCCTTGAGGCACTTGTAAAGTGGTGAAAAGGAGTAGAGTAGTTGCGTTGCTGTTGCGGGCCGAAGGCTGTCGTTTTTTTCGTTTCATTTTGGGGGGATGCCTCGTTAAAAACCTCATTAGGAAAAACCCTTTGGGAAAAATTCCTAATGAGGGAAAAAGAGTGCACCGAATTCCCCCAATGATGAATCGAAAATGTCAAACCTTGGTATAAAGTGGAGAATGACGGGAATGCCGAATGCTCTTTCTTCTGAGGGCTCCTGTGTTGATTAGCCGAAGGCTTGCTGTTGATGTCCTGGTGGCGCCGAAGGGGAGCCCCTCAATTCGGGGATCGAGGGCCTGCTGGATGAGGGTGACAATGGAGTTGTTACCGGGGGGGTCCACTGTTTGTTGATTAGTTGGTGATGAAGATACCCGAGGGCTCCCATTACCTGTGTGCCATGGGTCATCCGTCAATGAGGCACTCCCCGGGGGCTACCCGGTTTTGCAGTGCTGAGGGGGAATCCCCGAGGGGTGCCCTGATATGAAGCCTCGGGTTTCTGAAGGAGTGATCCCGAAGGCGGCTGTTATGTGCTGTGCGGGGCACAACCCGGGGGCACTTCTGAGTGAGTGTACCCGGAGGCTATCCTTGATGAAGAGGAGTGAAGTAGAAAACCCGGGGGCTTCCAGAATATAGCCGTTGGAAATATAGCCGTTGGAATATGTAACGACAGGATATAGCCGTTGGGGGGGTGGCACACGTGGCGTGTGATGGCTGGCTGTTCGTGGGCGGCGTCACCGGTTGGGTGAAACGACGGTGTGTAATGATGACGGTCCGTCCGGAGGCCCGGTTTCCGGGCCCAAGCCCGGATTCCGGCGTCTATAAATACCCCAAGGCCAGAGCCATTTCCCCTTGTGCGATCATTTGTCTTAGCGAAGCTCTGCCCGAAATTCTAGTGAGAGAAACGCAGGCCTTCGGTCAAAACTTCTGCTTTCAAGGTCAGTGCCCGCTTTCCCTTCACCTCTTAGCTACCTATACTGTGCCCTTAGGTTAGGAGATAGAAAATTTAGAAAACACTAGCGTCTACGAGCCTTCGAACTAGAGTCAGCATGTCGTCCCAGAGTGATTCTCAAGATATCTCGGGGGCGCCCTCGGTGGAGGATGAAGTCCTCTCGGACGTGGAGTTCTCAAGTGCAGAGTCCTCGGTGGGACAGGATGCCGTCGTTGCCCTGGAGTTGCAGAAAGCCCTTGTAGCTGAGGCGGAAGCCGAGGGCTTTGAGCAAGAATGTGAGGACGAAGAGTTGGCCATCGCCTGGCAAGCAGCTGAAGAGGAGGCACAAAGAGAAAGCGAGAGGGTCACCGTCGCTGTGCTCCCCCCTCGGGGTGCCGGGGAGGCCAGCACCTCTCGGCCGCTGAATGCGGTCCCCATCCGGGTGGCCCCCGGAAAGAAGAAGGCCAAGGCCGCTGTTCCCAAGAAAAAGGGCAGCGTAGCAGATCAAGGGAAGCCCCTCGATATGCCCGAGGGGTACTCCTATCTCCACACCGCCGCATTGGAGATCAAGTTGAAGGTTGATGCGGCGGACATCTATGTCACCCAGCTTCACGTGGGCCCCTCGGCCATCGTGGTGACACCGGGTCCGGATGACGTTCTCTCCCGGGCTCCCGAGGGCTGCATTGCGGTGCACGTCCTCTCAGTATCCATGGGGCTCCGCTTCCCCCTGCACCCCTTCCTCCGGGAATATCTTCGGTTCGTGGGTCTGGTTCCCTGCCAGCTGACCCCGAACAACCATTCTTATATCACTGGCTTCCTTCAGCTTTGCAAGTCCCGGGGGGTGACGCCTAGCCTGGACCTCTTCTTCTAGAGCTTCAACCTGTGCCGGGGGGGCACGCGAATGCTGAGGGGTTCGCCAATCTGCAGCAAGTGTCCGCGTTCAAACTCTTCACTGAAGCGCCCTCCTCGAACAAGGGGTGGAAGGACCGGTGGTGCTATGTGAAGCTAGTCGAGAGCCCCTTCCCGAGGGAGCTGCGTGACCGCTTCAGGAGGCACGAGAAGAGGAGGAGCGCCGCCCTCGAGAAAGATGGCAGGATTCTGGCCATGATCCCGGAGGGCCGGGACAAGAATATCTCCATCAAGGATTGCACCAAAGAAGCAGATCTCTACACCCTCGGGTTCCGGCGGTACCGGTTCCTGAGGGAAACTGATGAGAAGTTCCCAGTGTTTGAGTGAGCCTCCGGAGGTAGTAGCTGAGGGCATTCTCACCCTCATATCTTAGCACGTTTGTTCATTTGTTTTGTTAATTCTTTATGCCACTTAGTAGTGACCCCTCGATCCTAACCCCTCATTTTTTTTGCAGGTGTTCCAGTAAGTATGATGAACGTCAAAGGCCTCGCCCGACTCAAGAACAAACCGGCCAAGGATCCGAAGGGGCCGGACGCTGGTGGCCAAAAGCCCGTCGGTGCGCCTCCCAAAAAACCAGAGGGCGATGCTGCTGCGGCTAAGAGAAAGCCGTCGGCAAAGGAGCCCCCCCAAGCCCCCAAAAAGTTGAAGAAGGGGGATGCCGCGAAGGATGACCCCCCGGTGGTGATTGTAGATGACCCTCCGGAGATGCCGATGGCGCAGGCGCCGAGGGGGGTCCGGGAGCCATCTCTCGAGGTCCTCACGCTCTCCCTTCCGGCTGGAACGGCCGTGTTGAATGGCACGGCTGACCCGAGGGCGCTCCTGAGAGGTATAACCCTCGATATCGACAGGGCAGCTCTCGGGGCCGATGATGATCAAGCCCTTGAAGACAGGATCCTCCGGTCTTCCCTCACGGTGAGTTCACTGTAGTTTGTCTTTCCGTTTCCCACTTTGAACTAAGAAATCACGTTCGGCCCCTGACAACCCGCTTATCTTTGCAGACTTGCGTTGCCCTCGGGGAGCTGTTCCGACGGCTGGAGGAATGGCGCCTCCACAAAGCTGGGCAAGACGCCAAGATGAAGGAGCTGATCCTTAGGGACTCCCAGGCCACGAAGCTGATGGCCTAGCTTGAGGAGGACCTCCGGCTTGCGAGGGCGGAGGCCGGGAGGCTCAGGGAGGAGAAGGCAGAAGCTGAGGCGGCCGCTGCGGAGGCCGCAAGGAGAGCAGCCGAGGAGGCCGAGGCCATCAAGGCGAAGGCTGTCGCCACAGCCCGGGAGGAGGCCATCTCCGGGTTCCTGGACGGGGGGTGGAAGACCGAGGGGCACAAGGCATGGCTGTCTTCGGTTGTTGAGGCCTCAGTTGATGAATGGTCCGAGGGCCCGGGGGAGGAGTGGATGGCCCGGAAGGGTAAGCAGTATTATGATGGGGGTGAGTTCTTCACTCAAGCCCTCATCTACCGGAGGATGGTCCGCCATCTGAAGGTTGAGCCGAAGGACTTTGACCCGGCGGCGTGCGGGCTCCCCCCCTGCAGCCAGATATCCGTGTTCCTCTCCCCCCTGATGTCGAGAGGCCAGACCTAGAGGATTCCGAGCTCCGAAGGGAAGCCGAGGGCGACGATCCTGAGGCCGATGTAGAAGTTACCTCGAAGCCATCGGGGGAGGCGGCCCCCGGGAATGACATTATTTGATATGTACTCTGTAATTTGAACAATTTTGTAATAGCCTCGACCTAACATTGTAATAACTATATTTACTCCTTGTTGTGATGAATGATTGAATGCCTTCGGGCTTTGTATCTATGGCCCCCTTTTTTTTTCTAATTCCTTCCCTTTTGAATGTATGCCTTCGGTATTTTTGAATGTATGCCTTCGCTCCTTTGAATGTATATTTTAGGACTTAGAATATTATCTGATTGTAGCTAGCCCTTGGGAGCCTTCGGTAGTTGGGCATCCTCTGCTGGACATACAACCGAGGGTTTAGCAGGAATTGGGACTTAGAAATTTTTTCTAAGTGTAGCACAGCATGAGGCCTTCGGGCGTTTGTAGTAACCCAAATCTTAGGACTTAGAAAAATTTCTAAGTGTAGATTTCCCCTTGAAAGCCGTCGGGATATGGCATCCCTTCCTGATGTGTGAATGTTGGACCGAGGGCCCAATGTACAGGACTTAGAAATTTCTTGCAAGTGTAGTATGTCACGTAGCCTTCGGCTACTGGGAAATCCCAACTGAAATATTGAATAGGCTGGGGGCCAATTCTTTAGGACTTAGAAAATTTTCTTGAGTGTCGATTCCTTGTGCACTGTAGCCCTCGATTGATAGGTAGCCTTCGGCTATTAGGTCCCTTTATAAGATGAGGGTGAAATATGAAGGACTTAGGAAGATTTCTAAGTGTAGATTTTCCCTTGGGAGCCTTCGGGAGATGGCATCCCTTCTTGATGTATGAGTAGTTGACCGGGGGGAAAATATGTAGGACTTAGAAAATATTCCGAGTGTAGATCTTCCCTTGGGAGCCTTCGGGAGATGGCATCCCCTCTGATTCCACATCACTCTGCGAGATGCCCGGGGGCTGCTCATTTAGGACAGAATATTTTTTAAGCGTTGTTGTATTGCCTGGCCTTCGGCTACCATATTCCCTTGGCAGTAATATTGATTGGGCCGGGGGCCCAATCTTTAGGACTTAGAATTTTTTCGAGTGTTGCTTCCTTGTGTAGCCATCGGGTGATAGGTGCCCCCTGACTCTACATTACTTTGCGTAAATTGATGTTGAATCCCGTTGTTGTGAAGAAGGCCAATCAGGAGTGTGTGCCCTCGACATACACTCTGAAGAGTTGTAGAGTTTGACTCAGCCAGTTGTGTCCCTTGTAATGGGGTAGGGGCCCTCGGTATTAATGTATAACAGCTGCCTTCGGTACATATTTGAAGGTACCTTGCTGCTATTTGTTCGAGTAGTATCCTTCGGGAAATAGGAGCCTTCAGTTACCGGAGGTACTCTTTGATTGTAGGGAATCCTCGGCTTGTTGTGATCTGTTGGAGTGTACTCTTTGATTTCTCGCTGAGTCTACTCCCCTTCACCCCCTCTTTTTTTTTTTTTTTTGGTTGGTGGTGAAGGGAAGGCATCAAGAAACTTGGTTTGTTGGTAAGGCTGGGCCTATTAGGAGACCATCAGAATACACCAATGGCTCTCCTCCCTCGGGTTAACCTTCCGAGTTCCGAGGGGATCGAGGGACGTTTCCTGGGCACAAGATATGGTGGTCCGTAACCTGCCTCCCCTTGGGGGATGGCGCGGAAAGCACCTCATTTTTGAAAGTCGTCCCCTCGGCGCTAGACATAGTCCGTGGCCTGCCACACCCTTGGGGTGGTGGCGCGGGGAGCGTTTCGGTTTGGAAGTCGAATCCTGGGCATTTCTCATGCCTGTCATACCCTGGGGGTAGTGACGCGGATAGCGTTCCGTTTTTGAAAGTCGAATCCTGGGCATTTCTCATGCCTGTCATACCCTGGGGGTAGTGACGCGGAAAGCGTTTCAAGGAAGGGTTTTCATTTGCACACTAGTTGCAAATGGCCGGGGGCACTACGTGCCGCCGGCACCGATGGTGGCGCCTTCGGTATATGCGTCCTCATGGGGTACGGATTTTAGAAACAACACTTGGTGTTAGTTTCGATGTGTAGCCCTCGGTACTTGGTACCGAGGGGTCTTCTGTAGGAACACTTGGTGTTCTCTTTTGTCGTAGTTGATGTAGGCGTCTACCCTCGGTACTTGGTACCGAAGGGTCTTCAAATGAAACACTTGGTGTTTCCCAACAGATGTTTGGAAGTTGATAGGAGAGCATATCCCTGGCACTGGGTGCCGAGGGGTCTTCTTTGATGATGTTTGATGATGGAGGTGTACCCTCGGCACTGGGTGCCGAAGGGTCTTCTGTAGGAACACTTGGTGTTCTCATCTTTTCTTTTTTGATGTTGAAGGTGGGGATGTACCCTCGGCACTGGGTGCCGAAGGGAAATGAATTACATGGCGTTCTTTGTTGTTGGTGATAGGAGTTCCCTCCCTCGGTACTTGGTACCGAGGGGTCTTGAGAGAAAAACCCGTGGTGTTTTCACTGTTGTTGCAGGTGTTGATGGTGTCCGCCCTCGGCACTCGGTGCCGAAGGGGGTTCTTCTCGTGGTGAGGCCTGGGGTTTGTAGTCAGTATGGGGGGATGATGTCTTGAATGTATCTTCATTCTTCGAAATTGGAGGCCTTGGGCCATAGGATAGTACATTCACTAGTTATGAGGGCTTGACCGCTCTTACATTATTGATAAAACTTAACTAAATGGTGTACATTCCAATGCCTAGGGACTTCTTTCCCGTTGGGGCGTTTGAGCTTGTAGGTCCCAGGTTTGATGATGGCTGCTATGATGTAGGGGCCTTCGAATTTTGGTGCCATTTTTCCTCCCTCGGTTGGTTGGTTGGCTTCCCTCCTCCGGAGGACATAGTCCCCCACTTGAAATTCTCGGGTGCGAACTTTGGCGTCGATGTAGCTTTTAACTTGCCTTCGGTAGTTTTCTGCCCGGATGAAGGCCTGCTCCCGGCGTTCTGAAATGAGGTGGAGGTCGAGGGCCATGTTGCTGTCGTTGACCTCGGGGTCATATTGGATCACCCTTCGGGTGGGAAGGGTGACTTCCGTAGGAGCTTTGGCTTCAAAACCGTAGCAGAGGGAGAAGGGTGTTTCACCTGTTGCTCGCCGAGGGGTGGTGCGATAGGCCCAAAGGATGTTGTGGAGTTCTTCCACCCAGCCACCACCCTCGGCCTCCAGCTTCTTTTTGAGGCCCTCGAGCAAGGTCCGGTTGGCGTTCTCTACTTGCCCGTTGCTTTGAGGGTAGGCAACGGAGGAGAAGGTGTGTTTGATGCCCCATGCCTCCAGAAGGGCACAGAAGGGGGCTGCCTCAAATTGTGTCCCATTGTCGGAGATGATCTGCTGGGGGACGCCAAACCTTGTGAGGATGTTCTTGAGGACGAAGTGACGGCACTTCGCCTCTGTGATGCTGGCGAGGGGTTCAGCCTCCACCCACTTGGTAAAATAGTCGACGACCACAATGATGTATCTGTTGTTGGAGGTACCCCTCGGCAGGGGGCCCACAAGGTCTATCCCCCATCGAGAAAATGGGACAGAGGTGCTGATGGGGGCATAGTTGACCGCTGGCCTGGCTGGAGCTTTCTGGAAATGTTGACATGCGGTGCACCTCCGGGCAAGGTCAGCACAGTCCCTGGCCATGGTTGGCCAGAAGTAGCCCTGGAGAATGAGCCTTCGGAACATGGAGAAGGGTCCTTGGTGAGCTGAGCAAGTGCCACTGTGCACTTCCTCCATTGCGACCTCGGCTTCATCTGGATGAAGGCACCGAAGTAGCGTGCCATTGTAAGATCGTTTGTAGAGCCTTCCATCTTCGATGGTGTAGCTAGGAGCCCTCAGCTTTGTCAGTTTAGCGCGGGCCTCATTCTCGGGTAGCTGCCTTGTGGAGATGAAGGCGGTGATATCTGAGATCCAATCCTCCTGACGTTGTTGTATGTTCATAACGGGGCTTGCATGGATGCTTGAGAGGCTGAGTTCCTCGATCTTGGCAATTTTGGAGATGTGCTCGGGGGAGTCGGCCGAGAGCTTAGATAATATGTCGGCCTCGGAGTTCTGAGCCCTCGGTATTTGAGTGAGAGAGTGTGCCTCAAATACCTTACGCAACTCCTTGGCCGCTTCCTTGTACTATTTCATTCTCCCCTCCTTGGCCTCATATTCTTCGGAGATTTGGCCAACGACCAACTTGGAGTCGCATTTGATGTGGATCTGCCGAGCCCTCATGTTGGCTGCCAGCCGAAGGCCACATAGGAGGGCCTCATATTCGGCCTCATTGTTGGAGACCTTGAAGGAGAAGCGGATTGCATAGTAGGCCCTGAAGCCCTCGGGAGTAATGAGGACTACCCCTCCCCGCATGCTTTGGTCGCGGAGGAGCCGTCAGTGTAGAGGGTCCACCAGTCGTCCGAGGTAGCCGAGGGCTCCCCGTCCGTGGCTGCCCTTGCGGTACACTCCGTCACAAAGTCCGCCAGGGCTTGGCCTTTGATGGCAGGCCTTGGGCGGATGTCAATGTTGTACTGGCTCAAGAAGATAGCCCATTTCACCATGCGGGAGGAGCTGGTGGGGCTCCTCATGAGGGCGCCGAGGGGTTGATGAGTGAGGACCTGAACCGGGTGAGCCTGAAAGTAGTGGCCCAACTTTTTGACAGTCCAAACGATGGCTAACACCGTTTTTTCCACATGGGAGTACCTGAGCTCGGCCTCCCTTAGGGTCTTGCTAACGTAGAAGATGACATGTTGGATGCCGTCTTCCTCCCGGATGAGCACAGAGCTGATGGCCGCCGGGCTAACCCCAAGGTAGAGGTAGAGGGTCTCCCCTACCTTGGGTTTGGAGAGCACAGGAGGTGAAGATAGATATCGTTTGAGCTCGTCGAAAGCCCCCTGGCATTCTGGAGTCCATAGAAAGCCAACCGTCTTCCTCATGATCTGGAAGAAGGGTAGAGACTTCTCCGCCGATTTAGATAGAAAGCGGTTGAGGGCTGCCAGACGGCCCGTCAACCGTTGAACTTCCTTCACATTGCGTGGGGGCTCCATGTTGATGATGGCCTGGATTTTCTCGGGATTGACCTCAATACCCCTTCGGCTCACCATGTAACCCAAGAACTTGCCCCCTTGGACGCCGAAGGTGCACTTCTTCGGGTTTAGCCGAAGGTTGAATTTTTGCATGATGGCGAAGATTTCCCGGAGGTCGTCAGCATGGCTGGA